GCAAGACCCCGCGGGCCGCCGCGGGCCTTGGGTGCGAGCCCTTCCGCTCCTGGGTGCGAGCCCCTCCGGGGTCCGCGCGCGCGGCCTGGCGTTCCGCCGCTGCTGACGCGGCGTTCTGAGTGCTGTGACTCGTTCGCCGACTGGGAAGCCGAGTTCCTGCGAGTCCCGCTCCCTCAGCCCCATCCTGCCCGGGGTCCGCACGCGAGCCCGGGAAAAGGTGGAAAAGGAAGGAAAGGTCTCAAGTTAAATAAGGCTCCGCTTTAGCGCTTCCGGGAAGGCTGGAGCCTGGTCACCGGGATCCTTGGTCGTTAGTAAGTGGTCGCCGGCCCACGTTTTAGTTTTGAAAAGCGAATAATTCGCTGAGTTATTTTTTGACTACCTCATGGAAATAATACCTCAGGAAAAAATGCGGAGTGTGTGGCGGTTAAAGCTGTTTAAGAAAAAAGAAAACACTAATGAGGGAGAATTGATGAGAAACTAGTTGTTTTGCCCGAATGATTCTAGTGTGACCATTTCCCTTACGGATGCTTCTCTACCTTCCGTCCGTCACAGAAGTCGTCTGAACCACAACCTCTTCCTGAGAGGGGACGTTTTGTTTCAAAATTAGTTACCACTTCTCCATTAGAAAAGAAACTTTGACTAAGATTACAAAATGGAAGAAAACCGAACGTGATGTGCCCCGTGATAAAAAAACACTGCGCGCGCGCGCGCGCATACACGCACACACACACACACACACACACACACACCCATATCTGATCAAGTTCCTAGATCCAACTGCAAATGTATAGAAAATAGGTCAGGGGAGAATGTTAAACTGCACCACAGAGATGCAATCAGCAAGATCCTGACTGTGGGAAACTATAGATTCTTTAATAAAATACAAAGGGAAAAAAGAGGGGAAACAGGTTAAAAGCTTACATGACATATCAACCAATTGCAGTGTATTGACCTTATTTTGATTCTGATTCAAAAGGTCAAAGTATTTTTAAAAATTGACAGGAGATATTTTAATTCAAATATCGCTTGGACATGTGACAATATTAAATTGTTAATTTCATGAGATAATAATATATTGTACTAGTTTTTATTTTAAGTTCATATCTTTTCAAGAGTCATACCAGTAGAAGAAAACCTCACTAAACTAAAAACAAACCAAAAAGTTATGGTATTTATTACCCCTCAGTGTCTGTGAAAGATTAGTTTCAGACCTCCTAAGACACTGGATGCTCAAGTTTCTTATATAAAATGGCATAGTATTGCATATAAACCATGCACATCCTCCTGAATACTCATCCCTAGGTTGCTTATAATTCCTAATATAATGCTATGTAAATAGTTGTTATACTGCAATGCTTAGAGAATTATGACAAGAAAAATAAGTCTGTACATGTTGAGTCAGTACAGACACAGACCATGGGGAGACCTAACTACTTAGTACACATCAGCAAAAGTATAACTTTTTTTCCACATATTTTTAATCCTCGGTTGAATGCATACAGAACCCATGGATATGGCGGGCCAATTAACCATACAATTAACTACCAGTCAAAAGAAAGAGGAAGTTCTTTGTTAGTATAAATTGATCTCCAAGATGTACTAATATATGCAAAACACCAGGTGTGGGGGAGTGTATAATATGTTTCCTTGGATATGCATAAAATATGTTTAGAAAGACATCCAAGAGATGATTACAGTATAGGACAGTAAGTGGGAGTCGCAGGGAAAGGCTGGGAGGGAATGTTTTCATTTAACCCTTTTTTTTCTTTTTGCCTCATATTCGAATGGAATGTGAATTTTGACATTCTAAAGAAAAGGGAAAAAAATCGGCTCCAGCATTGTTGTGGGGATTGACAAATATTTTAATTACACATAGGTATGTTTATTTATTTTGTACTTTTTAAACATGTTCTTAATGTGTTATTTAGCTTTCATATCTTTTTCTTACTCTTGCCAGGTGATTTGTCTTCAGGCAGTCATACCAGTTCTAGAAAGACACTATCCAGTCTGCTGCGAAAGCCGCGGTGAGTCCCAGTAGTTTCTGATGACATTAGGAAGTTTTGGATGAGGTACTTTTCAGATCAGATTTCTGAAATCAAAGTGTCCTTCCATGTAGAGTTTTCATTTTCCATTTATTTTTGAATGGGCAATTCATTTTTAAGATTGTTTTGATGATGACACAGTTGAGATCTAATAATGGTATGAAAGGTAGTAGCCTGTGGGTAGCTTTGCCAACTTTAATGCATAGAAGAGTAATTACAGAAGACATTCTTTATTCACTTCAAACAAACCTTAATCATAACAATAACTTTATGTCATCTTGTTCTTGACACCAAATAAAAGACAACTCTTCCAGTCAGTAGTTAATTGCCAAGAACTATCTTTTCTTGTTTTAAAATGTGTTATTAAGTAGAAAACCGGCACAACAAATTGATGGAACAGTTCCCATATTTGTCTGTAACTAAAGCTGACAGTGTGGTGGGGATAACACTACACCTCTTCTGTTCCATCTTCTGCTTTGCTTGTCTCAGTGTATCTGGTGCTGACCAGTTGGGGGGCATCATACACAGTGGTCCTGTCTCCCTCAAACTCCAAGTCCCTTTCAGCCACAGCCTTCTCAAAGCTTCTGGACTTCACTTGTTTGAAGGGATGATGTCTCTCAGCTGTTTTCCTCATCCCTGAGGGGTTGGTTGTATAGGATTCTGTGGGTTAGTCCTTGAGCCCATCAATTTAGACACTTCCTGTAAAGGTATAATCCAGTCTTACCTGTTCAAGCACCACGTAGAAGGCAGGGCCTCTCTGTCTCTGTGAGGTTCAGTCTCTCTGATTCTACCATGAAAGCTAGGAAATGATGCCCTTTTCCTGGCTGCCTCTCAACTTAACTGAAATGCAAGATTGATAGAAAAGCATATTAAGGGAGGAAATTATATGTTCATCTCAAATGAAGCAGAAAAAAGGTTTGATACAATTTAGTATCTAATGGCAATATCAATATAGAAAAACCATTTGAATTGAGTTTTTAGGATAAAATAAGAATTTAGCTAGGTTGCTAGATGGAAAATCAATATACAAAAATTTTTCTTTTTTAATTGAAGTATAATTGGCATAATGATAGTAGTTTCAGGTATACAACAATAATTTGTATACATTGCAAAATAAGTCTAGTTGACATCTGTCACATATATAGTTACAAAACTTTTTTCTTGTGATGAGAATTTGCATTGTTGGGCCTATAGCATGTAGAAATGTAAAATATTTGACGATAACAGCACAAAAGATGTGATGGTAACAAAGCTACCTTGGAGTAAGGACATGACATCAGATGGTAACTCAAATCCACAGGAACAAATGAAGAGAACTTCATTAGAAACATTAAATAAGAGAGCTAGTGTAACAAACTCTGCGTATACTTTTTCTTCTTTCAGTCTCTTTATCAGGCATCAAATTATATAAAGAATTATAACAGTGTATTTTAGATTCGTAATATATAGGTGTAATATGTTTAACAATAATAGCACAAAACAGAGGGAAAGGAAATAAATCTAGAATAAATTTAGAATAAATTTGAAATATTCTAAATTAATATATATATGGTAAGTCCTAGGACAACCACTGTGAACATAACAGAACGTTTATATAGTAAAAAAAAAAAAAATCATAAAAGGAATTAAAATTTTACAGAAGAAAATATTCACTTAATGCAAAGGAATAAAGGGGAGAAAATACATGAGTCATATTGAAAATAAAAGTAAAATAGCAAATGTAAATCTATATCAATAATAACAAAATATAAGTAGATTAAACAATTCAATCAAAAGGCAGAGATTGACAGACAAGATAAAAAAAAACCAATGTCACCATAAAAATTAATTAATTAAAAAATAATAATAACATCGAACCATATGGTAACGATTGATACACTTCAGATTCAGAGATACAAATAACTTGAAAATAAAATAATGGGACAAGATATGTCATGCAAGCAGTGACCATAGGAAAGTTGGAGTAGTTTTACTAATATAAGACACAACAGACTTTCAAACAAACAAATAAAAAATGTTACTAGAGATAAAGAGGGATGTTTTACGATGATAAAAGGGTTAATCCAATAGGATATGCACCTAAGAACAGAGCCCCAAAATACATAAAGCAAAACTGATAGAACAGAAGAGACAGAAAGACAATTCAGCAGTAATTGCTGGAGACTTCAGTACCCCACTTCCAATAATGAACTGAACAACTACACAGATGATCCACAAGGCAATAGAAAACTTGAAAACACTGTAAACCCATTAGACCTGAAAAATAGCTATAGCGCATTCTACACAAAAACAGCACAACACACATTCTTCTCAGGGACACACGAACATTGATAAACCACATTTTCAGCCATAAAACAAACCTGAAAAAAACTTAAAAGATTGTAATCATGCCAAGTATGTTTTCTGACCTCAGTAGGAAAAAATTAAAAGTCAAAAATAGAAAGAAATTTGCCAAATTTGCATATGTTCTAGTTATTAATCCTTTATAAGATACATGACTTGCAAATATTTACTCCCATTCTGTGGGTGGCCTTTTTCTCTTTTAACTCTTGATCCACAAAATTTTTTCATTTTCATAAAGTCCAATTTGTCTGTTTTGTCTTTTGTTACTTGTGCCTTTGATGTCTTATCCAAGAAATCATTGCCAAATGCAAAGTCATGAAGATTTCACCCTATGTTTTCTCCTAGGAGTCTTATAGTTTTAGGTCTTAAATTTAGGTCATGGATCTATTTCGAGTTAATGTTTGTATACGGTCTTAGGAAAGGACCCAATTTTGTTCTTTTACATGTGGATATCTAGTTTCCTGGCACCTTTTGTTGAAAAGACTGTTTTCCTCATTGAATGCTCTCAGCACCCTTGTCAAGAATTATTGACCATATATGCAAGAGTTTATATCTGGACTCTCTGCTGCGTTCCATGTGTCTGTCTTTATGCCAGTATCACACTGATCTGATTACTGTAACTTTGTAGCAAGATTTGAAATCAGAAAGTGTGAGTCCTCCAGCTTTGTTCTTCTTTTCAAGATTGTCTTTGGCTTTTGGGGGGTCTCTTGGGAGTCCATGTGAATTTTAAGAGGGTTTAACCAGAGCAGTTAGGTAAGCAAATGAAATAAAAGATATCCAGATCAGTGAGAAAAAGGTTAAACTAGCTCATTCACAGATCACATGATCTTGTATATCAAAATCCTGAAGAACCCACTAAAAAGAAAATTAGGACAAATGAATGAGTTTAGCAAGGCTGCAGGAATCAAGATCAACCTACAAAAATCAATCGTGTTTCTCTCCTAGCAATGAACAATCTAAAAATTAAATAACAATTTCATGTACGATAGCATCAAAAAGAATAAAATACTTAGGAATTAAGTTAGTAAAAGAAGTGTGAAACTTATACTCTGAAAACTATAAAATGTTGTTGAAGGAGGTTTAGGAAGACCTAAATAAATGGAAAGACATTCCATGTTCATGGATTGAAAGATTTAATATTGTAAGATGGCAGTACTCTCAAATTGATCCACAGGTTCAATGGAATTGCTCTGGAATCTGTTCAGTGGGGAGGGTCTTGAACTCATAACTTAATGTGCTTGACACATGTGTGTCAAGGTGCAGGGAGTTCTGAAGAGGCCCCTGTCTTCAGTCTACCAGGTGTAGCTCAAGGTACCCTTTCCTTCTGTCGGACCTCTCAGAGCAAGGTGGAGAAGGATGAGCAGTTCAAGCCTGGTTTCTGTCCTGTGACCCTCCAAGAGGCAGTTTAGGGCAGAATGAAGAAAAGTCCTGTGAATCTTGGGAGAGATCTAAGTGACCCTGAGTTGCCATTATCAAGGCAGGTGGCCTGTGCAAATCACAGTTACCCCAGGTATGAAAAAGTATTACCTTAAATCATCTCCAAGTTCTCTTTTTGTTCTAGAATATTCTGAGAGATGCCAACACTAAGACTGATTGAAAATAAATTTCTTCAGGAAGCTGGAAACCTGTAAGAGTACACAAATTGGTTTCTGTTCTTAAAAAGCACAGAATTTTCAAAGCACAGAAAACAATTTGCACAGATGTGTGTGTGCGTGTGTGTGTGTATTTAAAGCAGAGCCTAAAGAAAACACATGCAGTCAATGTGTCTTATACATATGATCTGTATTTCTATGTCCTTAACGTCATATGAATATATCTATGTATCACCACTATTTATTATTTATTACTTGCTAAACTGTATGCTGGGCACCGTGGTTTAACACCTTGACATTCATCCCTTTATTGTCCTCTTACAAAGATGACACAAGCTGCATTTCACAGCTGCTTTGGGAATGGAAGGCAGCTACCATGGCAGCACCTAAGGTTCTAGAAACTGATTCTCAAAAGAGCTGAAGCACTTTCTTATAAGATTACGCCAACCCACCAAAGGAAGAGCAAGCATTTTAGCCCTCCCTTCCTTTTCTTCCCCACCAAATATTCTTTTGCTTTGCTTTGTGAAGGCTCAGGTTTTCCCTTAGTCTTAAGAAAGAAGGACACACCTTAGGTTTTGAGTTGCTGGAGCCACTTTTACTATTTCCACTGCTGCTTCAGATTGCAATTAGAAACTGACTTTTGTGCAATCCGAAAAGGGGAAAATTGAAAGGAAACGTAAAAGTTGAGAAATTTGGAACCTATTTAATTGATTGTATTTCCATGACCAGAATTTATTTTGTGAAGTTCGTTCTTCATTTTTATTTCTTCTTCGGTCATAATTTGTACTTTCTGCTCAAACATCCGCCATTCCAGTATTTTTCTCCTCACAATTTCCTATAATTTTGATTTGAGGAAATGACTCACTAAAACCAGAGGAATGTATACTAGCAAATTGAGACACCTTTTTTCTGGACAAAAGAATCATCTTTAGGAATTGTTTCAGGAATTAACACAGGGAAGTTCATAAATAAAGGAGACATCATTCAAAGAAAAGCAATAATATTGTCAAAGATCCTTGGTTTCTATAAGAGTGTGAATTTATTTTGTGGTAAATGAACCACCTGAAGGATATAGAAATAAAGATTTCCATCCTTATCTACCTTCTGCAGAGGGGGGATACAGCAGCAGCCCTCATTTTTCCATTTCTGTGATACCTGGATGACTGGAATGAAGGGATGGTGCTGGGAGAACTGATACTGCTGCTGTTGCCCTCATCCTTCAGCATAGTCATCTGTGACCTCTTTTCTGAACATCTAAGTTGTCGACAAAAGTGGGTAAAACACATATCAAAAAAGTTCGCTCTTCCAAGAATTTTGTTTTCAGCAATTCCCTGTCACCGATGTATCTTTATGGAACAGAGGCGAAATTGTTTTGTATGACTTTATTTCATTGAAATTCTGAATATGTCGTTTTGGAGCTTGAAGGGATTTTGAAAAGGCAGAGGAATTGATGGTCACAGCTTTTGTGTTAGCTGGCAGCATTATGGTAAAGCAACTATGGACCTGATCTCGGACATATCTGCTGGGACTGCCTCCTGCTCACAATTACAGGTTCCAGAAGCTTTCACAATGTCTTCTACCTGTATGCCCAGGGTGAACCTGTTGCCAAAAAACTAGGACAAAAGTTGCCTCCTCCAAGCCTAGCCTTTTCCTGATTTTTAAGTTATGTTACTCTTAACATTAGAGATTTTGGCATTGATTGCTTCTAGTGGATGTATGGAATGTTCGTATCTATATATTTTTTTTTACTAAGTTTAGAATTAATGTAGAGTTTCATAGCTCCCAGCTGTTTTAGAATGTAATATAGTATAGCAGGAAGTACAGCAGCTTTGGAGGAAGGTAGGTCTGGGTTCAAACTGCACGTAGGCACTTAACTTGTGTAACATCAAGGATGTGTTGCTTAACCCAAGTTCAACTTCCCTACATAGAGCAAAACCTGCTTCATAAAGTGGCTGTGAGGACTCACGTAACATAGGTTAAGACACACTCTAGTGCTTCCTGGGGCGGTAGCTACTCATATGGCATTTGTTAGAAGCTGAGCTCCATAACCTTTTGTGCATGAAATACAAAGAGAACAAGTAGCACTGGTAACAACACATTTATTTACGTACCCTGTTGTGTGACCGGGAGATGTTTCTCACTTTCCAATAATTGAATTAGGTTATAACAATGAAAATTCCAGAAGGTAAACTGGTAATTTATTGTTGCTCATGAGCATAAGTAAACAGACATGGTACCACATAAGGAATTTTAAACACTCTAAACTTTTGGTATAGCTTTGAATATGGATCAGTATACTTTGGCAGTGGACCTAATAGATTACCGATATGCTTCTAAATCCCATGATTCTCTTCAGACACATCAGGGAAAACTTGGATTTACTTTTTGATTTCAGAAATTCAACAAAGATTCACAGGACACTGGCAAAGGCCAACATTACTTAAGCCTATCATATTTATCATGAATGTACATTACTGACTGCTATTAAAAATAAGATCGTTTAGGCAGCAACCAATTGCTAGTTTCATTTCGTAATTACTTTAGTATTTTTAAAAAATAGTTCACCTCAGAATGGTAGACTATAGAAGTTTGTTATTAAGTAGTTTTAACTCAGTAACCTTTTGTGGACTAGTTAAACGAATATAGATAGATCTGAAGTCATAGAATTGGATGGCATATCAAATTTAATATTAGAAACAGCCATGTCCAAGAGACTGCATTATACAGGATGTTTCCTTCCAGACTGCCTTTTATTCCTGGCTTCAAATCTTACTTACAGCATATGGTATTTGTAGAGGGTTTGAGAAGTGTTAGCAGGTGGGTACTCATTGCTAGAGCAGGATATAAGAACGTGCTGATCACCAAGTATGAGATTTTACATTAAATTAAAATCATATACTGCTGGAAATTGACAAGATAAGGAGTTCCTAGATCCTAGAAAATATTATGGCTAAGGAAATAGAGAACTCAAAGAAGGAATCCACATCTAAGAAACTATTTCAGTATAGTAAAATAGGATTAAGTGCCCTGTCTTAGGAAAAGTTTACTAATAAAAAGGAACAGCTGGGACACCATACATCGTTTCTTTGGAGATAAAGTGCAGGCGATGAAGTGGCATATAAAATAATGCATAAAATAGTGCAATCTTAAGGTGCCATTCTTTTTATGACTCATAGCCTATGTTCCTATGTCCATTTTCTCTCAAAAATCCAGCTGTAGTGACACCTTTTAGCTTATTTATTTAGGCATTACTTATACTCTGTTTTACCCACCTTTGGGGCTACATAGAATATTTTAACATTTTAACAAGTAGAATAACAGCGCATACATTTTGAAACTACTAGAGATTAAGGCAAGCCCCTGTAAAGTTCAGTACTCCAAAAAACATGTTTTACAAAAAGAAGTTGCTTCCAAAACCTGTGGCTTTAGACCTGATGGCACCCCAACAGTTTTTAAAACATCACGATTACTCTGAATACATTTGTTTGCCCCATTATTTCCAGGCTCTGTACAGCAAGAGGAGCTTGAAAAAAGCTTCTATAATCTCATGTTCTGAAATAATTCATACTTCAGAATATGTGAACACCAAGCCAGGTCCATGTTGGAGATAAGCGGAGGATCCTGTTGGGGAGGGGGTGGGGGCAGTCTTCTAATATATGCCTTTTCACACTGTGTATCTATGTCTGTAGTGTTGTAGCATCAATTTATAAAAGTGGGATGACCCATTAAAATAGAGGCATCTCCTCCAAAAATCAGCCAAGGAAGGTGACAATACTTTATGAAATGTTGTTCTAGGACAACACAATATTAACATTATAGCGTTTGTATTACTGATGTATGATCCAGGGCATGATGGTTCTCTCAGGAGGCTAATTTACAATTTTCCTGTAACACGTGTCAGTTTTACTGATCAAAATAATTTGTGATTTGTTGAACCTTAAATACTATTTATTATGTTATCCAAAAGCAAGTGTAACAGCTATCAAATCGGTCAAGGCAATATCCTAGCATGTTTTAGCTAGACAGTCTAAGTAAGGTTTAAGACTTAAAATAAACAACAAAACTGTAGTGCTTTATTCTCCTACTGTTATGGAACATTCATGCATTAACAAGAGCAACTCATTAACCTTATGGACAGGTGATTACAAGTGTATACCATAGAAATTTGGATTCTCAACAAAATCTACCTTTTCATAGTGTGAATGCTTATTGTGAAAGCCAAATATACTTGTTAACTATAGATACATTTAGGGGATCTAGATGTAGTTTATAAAGAAATCTAGGCAACTTTAAATATTCATTAACAACTATTAATCATCTGAGATTATATCCCTTTGATGCATAAGGATCATACTTTGCAAACCTGTAAACATGTACTTTGTTGCTTAAAAAAGTCTTCCTATTACCAGGAAAGCAGACTTAAAGGCCATGAGTATTCCAGTAGGCCTCCTCCAAAGTATGGTAATATGGCTAAATCCTATGGTTACAATAAATGAGACCTGCTGAGAAAATGAGTTCCAGACAGGGACTTTTATGGATGACCTTGGCTGACAAATATTTTTTGGAAATTGTTTATTTTAAAATTACCTTCCCAACAAACCATGAAACACTTGGACGTTATTTTATGGTTTTTCATTGAAAACATACTACATTGTAAATGGAGTTTCAAAGGTAGACAGAGAACCGATCGAAATCTAAGGACAGTATTAAAAATGGATAAGAAAAAGTTTCATTTGGTGAGGTTAATCTAAAGGATGCAGAACCATGTCATGTTGGACGGATAAAAAAGATGGTAACCTTGTGCTTTTACTCAACTAAGGTACTTACCAAAACCTTAGGTTTTATGCAGGTATCAAACTCCCACCTGGAAAGGGACAGTTTTCTATATTACACCTAAATTTATTTTAAATAACTGAAGCCCAAGGCAACAGCTGTTTCAAAGAATCTAACAGTCAAATAATAATGACATAATTTAGTACATTAAAATAAAACTAGAATAGTAATAGCTGAATGTCTCAAAAATATACAACTGGGGCAAATAACCACTGTACATAATTTGGAGGTCGTTAAAGTGACCACTTAGAAGGTTGAACAGTGCAAGACATGCTTTTCCAGTTATGAGCTCAAAACAGGAGTGCAAACGAAATTAAAGCTTTTGTATAAACTTATAAGGAAAGCGTGAAATTAATATTAAAAAGCTTCCCTCGGGTCATCCCCCAGAAATGAAATGATCAAAATACTTTTTCAGAGTACAGTTTTCTTCAGTGAACTTTCTTTCAGTGGCAAAACTGCATCCCACAGGTTGGGTCCCTTACTCATACCACTGGTAATCACATTTGATCAATGAGCACACACAGTGGTGAGTAAGGAAATAGTACTAGTTACCAGAGGTCTGATATGGATAGGAAGAGCTTTGGGATTTGGTGTTCTGCCTTCGCCAGCGTACCTGAACCCTGCAGAGAAGAGAGAAAGCAAAGGGCTTTAACGCTCTCTTGTTCCTGTAAAACTGGAGGACAAATGGACTCACAGATTCCCCCCCCGGAGGCCAGCTGTTGTGGAAGATGTTAAGTGCTTAAGTAAACTAAGATGCTGATCTAAAAAAGTGGAGAAGTATAGAGGTTCAAGATCAATACCAGTGCAAGAGCTTTTTAAGTGAGTTGCCTAGGCAATGCATGCATCCATCCATGCAAATGTAGGACATGGCCCCAAAAGAGAACTGAAAATGTGATATAACAACTGGATAAATCCCTTGCCAGTAGTTTATAAAAATATATAGTCAATACTGTAGAGGCCCCTTCTACAGTCAATACTATGGAAGTCCGTTTTAGTTACCCATTACTTCAATACCAAAAAGCATTTACTACTTTTCAGACATTCCAGACAAAGGTCACTTATAACAAAAAGTCAACTTTTTTTTTTTTTTTTTTTAAACAAGATACTGTCCATTTAAAAAGTAGGTCTTTTCTTTCAAGTGAACAGGACATTTTCTGTATTAAACTTAACTTCTAGTCTGTCAAGACTGGTTTAAGATCCTTATGTAATGTGCATATATGCAGAAACAAATAAACTTACTTTAAACATTATCTGCACAGAAAAAAAAATTAACTCCTCAAAACATGATAGAACAGGTCTGGTTAGTACAAATCTATTGCAAAGTAAAAAGATTCTGTGCATCAGTTCAACCAGGAGAAGCGGGAAAAGAATGTCCCAGTCATGAGAGTTCAAGTTGAAGTTTTCTGAAAGCCTAGAAGCCTAAGGGACGTCATGTTGCTCTCAGTGTCCTGATATGCACAACTGCTCAAGCTATGAAGCCAGATCTTCCTCTGGAGCTAGAAGCACATTCCAATTTACTTTCTATTCCGGAGACGTTTAGATTTCCTAAGAGAGTCTATGGCTTCTGCTGCCTTTTTTCGTTTCCGAGGAGACTCTTCATTCTGCCCAGACCCTGAAGGGTTCCCTACTGCACTGTCCATTACTTCTCGCAGTTTGCGTTCCAGCTCTGCCAACCGTGCATTCTGTTCCCCTATGATCTGGGTCTGCTCTAGCAGTTTCTGGTCCTGGTCTTGAAGCTGTTTCTGCTGTTCTTGCACTTTGGTGCGAAGCTCAGAAATTTCACGCCTGAGAACAGTCACACCAGCACCATTTGTCTTAACCTGCTGCTGGAGTTTGGTAACCTCTTGTCTTGAAGGGTTTTGCTTGGAGAAGAGCTGCATTGTTGTCAGGGCTGCAGAAGGTCCTGGAACTGTGGAGAAATAGTAGATGGTCAGTTAACTTAAAATGTCTCGCTATGAGTAATACTTCATTAATAAAACTTATTTTGAAATGGAATATCTTTATAATAACACTTCTGATGATTTCTTCTTTGCAATTTATATGGTCGAATGGATTAATCAGACATCTGGTTTTAACTATAAATGAGTCTGAATTCTGATTCTCATGTTCATGTGGCATTGTGGAGACTGCCAGCAAATGGAGGAGGACATTTAATGTTATAAACTTGGATTTAAAACATTATAAAACATTTTAGGATCTACTAAGAAGATACAAGTGGTAAAATAGAATATAATGATTTTCTATCTAATTTCACATAAGCAAACATAAAAATTCAAATTAGAAGCACAGATGTATCATGTTCTTAAGTTCTCTCTGCACCTGGTTATATGCAAAGGCTTCGATTTTAGTTAAACAATAGGGGTGTCATCAACGAGTGGCTTACATCATCTGTGATTATTGTAAAGAATTTCTGACATGGTGTAGGTAGGCTTTGGAACTATTCTGTTTTAGGAATAACAGAATGTAACACAGGCATAAAAATCATTATTTTAAACCAATAACCTACTTTTTTAAAAAACCTTATCTACTGAAGGTTTTCTAAAAAGACCAGATGGACCTCTTCATACCCTAAACTCATCATACTAATTTTCTCTTTGTACATCTAAATAACCAGAATTATTTTCCTTGACGGATGCATTCTTCCTTCTCTCTCTGCTTAACTTTATCCAACTTCCACTAATGCATCAAGACTCAGATCAATTCTTACCTCTAGTGAAGTCTTAATCAGAACAGTGAACAATGATCTTCTTAAGATTCTGTCTCTGCTACTCAGTTGGCATTTAAATGGATACTCCTTTAAAATATTTCTCTCGCCTATGATAATGGAACTCTGAATCTGTATATGTGTCTGGAAATAGTTAAGATCCTTGAGAGCAGACACCACATATTACACTTTTTTTAAGTCTCCACTGGACATAGTACAGTGCTCAATAGATACTCAATAGATAATATATTAATGCTGAGATGCCATGGGCTTTATTATTGACTCACAGAGAGGCACTCAGTTACCCCACTGAGTACTCCAGGGAGCTAACTAATCCAAACAAAAGACAGTTTACTAAAAATTTTTTCCTGATTTAAAATATTTGCAAGGGTTGAGGATATTGAACGATTTAGTCTTTCAGTAGATAATGGCACTAGGACCCGATTTACTTTTGCAGAATAGCTACCACAGAAGAAGTGACAGTGTTCAAAATAGCCTTATGTACCCTGTCTTTTAATGTAACAGCCAGATACACTGGGGGCTGAAAAAGTAACTGGATAGTTCCATGAAGACTTTTTTTTGGTTTTATCTGGTATATTTAAATCTGTTTTAGGATAATGCATATTAACTAGAAACATCAAAAAACATATATATAGCTTTTTCAATCAGCAATTCTACTCTAATAAATATATTTTAAGTCAGTAGTTATGAATATGTACAAAGATTTAGCTACAAGGTTGTTATTCAGAGCGTAGTTTAAATATTGAAAACTAGAGACAAATTTGCTTAACGCTATAACCCAATTTGTTGTTAAAAATGATGTTGCAGATACATATTTACAGACGTAGAAAAGTTCAGGATATATGGTTAAATGGGGAAAAAAGCAAGTTATAAAACTATGTATGAATGTTAAGATAAACTGAACATATAAATAAGAGATACCTGGAGGAGAGCCCATGAGTCTTCCAGACACATCTGATCCTGGTAATTTCCTCTTTAGAATTGGAACAATCTTTTCATCAAAGTATTCCATTGCCATGGAGGAAATATCCCTTAACTCTTGAAGTACTTCATGAGCTCGCTGAGGGGCTCTGGTAGAATTGACATATCTCAACACACGATAAATCTCATCAATAACCTAAAATAATGAGCTCTCATTAGCACTTTCAATTAAAAAAAAAAAAGAAGCTAAACAGAGAGAGAAGTGACTGCTTGTTTAAAGCTTCTGTAAAGACCTATAGGGCAATTTAACTGATGTGCTGGTCACTGATAACATTACCATCTGTAACACTTCAGCCTTGTTGTGTTTTATGTTTCATACTTGCATTTATTAAGTACCAGGTACTGTGCTGGGACTAAGAAATCAAGATGAATAAAATATAGCTCCTATCCTGAGGGGAATCACGGTGTAACTGGGGAGAAATGTGTGTAAATAAGTGATGCAAAGAAGGGACACAAATTACTAAAGAAACCAGAGGACTAAACTAAGAAATTAAATCCTGGATGTAAGCAGGGGGAGGGGAATTACCCAAACCCATCCTCTACTAATTCTCCAAACCCACTTCACTCTAGCCCGAATATGCCTCTCGAAACCTGACCTACTTTTCTCTTACACTGCATCCCTTGCTCTATCTCTTGAAGTTTTGTTTCGCTAAGACTTGCTATGGACTGGAATGAGGTCTCCTCAAATCCCACTTCCTGGCTATCACAAAGGGTAGCAAGAGATCCTTTTTCATTTCATGATAACTGCAGTGGGAAAACACAAAGCATAACATACAAGGGAAGAAACAAAATTCTGACGATTCTGGTTCCTAATTCTCTTGCTGGAACAGTAACTGAACCTTCCTTAGGCATTTCTGCCCTCAGCCTGAGTCCCTGGGAGGTTATCCCTAAATACTTCCCATGGCTTTGGCATGGACCTGAAGACAATAACCCATATTTCTGACAACATCCAGTCTGGGAAACATCTATTCCAATGGGCCTTTGCCTTCCAAAAATTGTAGGTTAATCAACAAAACTATCTGTCACCAAAGTATCTCAAACCACCTCAAATCCCACTCATTCCCCTTATGGTATTTATCTAGCCAGTACCCAACTCTGGAACAATCTTGTAATCTACCTTCTTTTCGTTACTCAATCTGCTGAGTCCTGATAGAAAAACATAAAATTTTGCAGAATAGTATGAGAGGCTATTTCTACAACTTTCAAATAATATTCCACATGTTGAATCCTACCCAAGCTGGAGGTGATAAGTTATAAAAAATATTTTTAAGTTTTAAAAACATATGGTAGAAACCAAATATGGTGAACTATCACATTTTTAACACATGCATTTCACTCTAGCAGGCTTGTATTTAAATTTGCACAGTAATAAATGATACACTAGGGACATCATTTAAGTCTTTGGACTATTGTGGGTGAGAGAGAATTTCTATCTTGTTTAATCTACTGTTCAGCAAACAAACCACCTACTAGAATATTGAACCTCATATATTCTCAATTTTTCCTCATTTTCCACCTTTGTCTTTTTTTCTACTTGAGATTTCCGTAACTTTTCTTTCCACTCCTTTTATTTAAAATTTTTTCTTCCATGTTTGAGAAATTCAAGTGCATTTAAAATTTCCTGAATATTCCTTTATATGGCATGTGTTTGACTGTATCTTTTCGTATTTCACTTAGAATACAGTTTCTTTTTAAGTTATACCTTTGTATGGTTTTCTCAAAGGTATTTTCCCCGTTTGTTTTATTCTGTGTTTCCTATTGGTCTAGTGATTCTCTATTCTCTGCTTATGTTTAAGAATGGAGCACACAAAAGGTTATCAGAACTCCCCAGTTTGCCAAGATGGCTGGCAGGGTGAAGGGAGGATAAAAGGGGAGGGATCTAAAAAGTCAATATGAGAATAGATCAATTTGATTTTTAAGAAAGTCTTCACATTAAAATCAATTTTAAAGGACACAAATATACAACATTCTGGAAACAACAGATAAACTCATATTAAGGGATATTTTTCAAAATAACTGACCTATTCTCTTGAAAATCGAGATCAAGAAACACAGAGTGTAGGGATCTATTCCACATTAGAGAAGATGAAAAAGTCCATGTGTGATCCCAGACTGGGTTCTGGACTGAGAATAAGAATAGTTGGTAAGAGTATTTGGGATACTGATGATATTTGAATATGGATTACTGATATTAGATAATTTTATCAATGTTAAATTTCCTGAGTTTGATGTCCATACCGTGGTTTAAGTAAGGCAATGTCCTAGTTCTCAGGGAATACACTGAAATATTTAAGAACAAAGGGTCACAATACCGCACCTATTTTCAAATAGTTAAAAAAACCCCACACATATGTAGAGAGAACAAAAGTGGGACAAAAAGTAAATAATAGCTAGATCTGGATAAAAGATATATAGGAGTTCCTTGTACTATTCTTGTAATTTTTGCATTAAATGTGAAATTGTATCAAAACAAAAATTTACAAAAAAAAAAAAATTTAAAAGATGTCCCACCACCATGTTTTTCTCCTCAAAATGTCAAAACAAACCAATAATACCTAATATGTAGGTTTTAAGTTTGGCCAGGGAAATATAGCTTCTTGACTTTGTTTGCACAAACATTCACACTGTGAAAACTCTCACTTTTAGGAACCCCTGTGTTTCAAGAAGCACAAAGGGTTACCAGGGCTACTGGTAACAATTAACAGCAGGGGCTATACGTGTCTTTTTTCATTATTACATCTCCCAGAACGGTTAGTTGGCCTCTGCTCACCTGTGTGCTTCAGTATGTGTGAATTGCTGATACTGACCATGAACTATAAAAAGTTCAACTTCTGTATGTCAGATAGAAGATTTGAGAAATGTATACGGGAGTAAACCAAAATCTAAAACCTCTTAGTTTGGAGGGAAGATGAATGGAATATCAATATAGTGGTCAGGGTCGACAGCTACGGCCCCATCTGGCCTGTGCCTGTTTTTGTAAATAAGACAGCACAAGAAACAAAATTACCCAAGCTAACTTAAGTGTGATAATGAAAACAAAAATTATTATTATTTTTGAGTTATTTGTCCAGTCAAGTTCAGGTTTGCAGGAGAAAACTTAGGATAAGTTCTTGTGAAGAAATGGGTTCTATTAAGGAAAAAATGGAATAAAACAGTAAAGTTTTACAGCTGAGGAATCAGAGGACTTGAGTGTAGCTTTCGTCAAATCATGTAAGTTTTGTTTTGTTTTGTTTTGTTTTATCAGTGAAATAGTAATACTAGTTCCATCTACCTTACATGGCTATGATGGAAAGGAAATAAGATAATGTATGAAAGTGCTCTAAGAATTAGGATGTATCTCACAACTATAAGGTGAGGGCAATGGCAAGAAAAAGGAATAGGTAGCTATCTATATTATAACGTTAGGTACAAAATCGTAAGTTTTGTTTTGTTTTGTTTTATCAGTGAAATAGTAATACTAGTTCCATCTACCTTACATGGCTATGATGGAAAGGAAATAAGATAATGTATGAAAGTGCTCTAAGAATTAGGATGTATCTCACAACTATAAGGTGAGGGCAATGGCAAGAAAAAGGAATAGGTAGCTATCTATATTATAACGTTAGGTACAAAATTCCCTTCCAACTGCTCTTCTATTGTGGGTGAGGTAAAGGCTGCAGTTAAGGAGCTGTCCAGAGCAAACGCCCAAGGGGACCTACTGCATCTTGAAAACTTAAGACATTCTCCAGTGCTGCCACCTTGATTTTGCTTTTATTTGAAGTGACAGGTCAATAAGTAGTTTCCAAAAAACAGGGGGACTCAACTACATTTGACCTCATTTGTTTAGACAGTGAAGAGCATTACTCCAATCACGCTATCCTGATGAAATGGAACAAAGACTGGCAACTTCTGCAAAGGCCAGATACTGAACATCTTAGGTTTTGCAGGCCATACGGACTCTGCCCAAACCACTCAACTCTTGTTAGTAACAGCTGACTGAACTGTCTCTGAGGTTATGAAAACTGTGAGACGTTTCTTAAATATTCATATTCTTAACCAGGAGATAAGCAATACAAATGAGGCCACAGGGACAAACTATTCTGGTTCAATGACCTTCCCAGGAAAATTTAACAGTTAAGGTCTAGAAATCAGATCTGGATAAAATCTGGATTTAAGAATCAGAATCTAAAGTTTCTAACTCTTTCATAACCCTACAAAAGCACTTGTAGTTAATATGAGGAAAGTGAGATGTACCAAATAACATTTCAAATAAAATGAAAAGAAACAGGATTCTCCCCCAAAATAAGCACCATAGAAAACTGAAAATGGAGAATGTACATACAAAATATTGCTAATGTTAATTATCTATAGAAATAACAAAAAAGAGAACATTCAAATTTTACTAGGTATTAAATAGTTCTAACCATGTTGATATTTTTGCTAGTATCAATCAACTAAGTTGCAAATAACCTTTAATTCCATATCCACCTCTTCCATATAAAAGGGTATCAACATATTTCATTAGAATTTACACTCAATTTAAGAAGCAATATAGTACTGAGGGTATGAGTAACATGTTGAAAATACCACATATACTTATTTCTGTGTTAAACAGCACCATTACTTAGCTCTGAGTATACTGCTGCTATACAGTCATTTATTCTTGTCAAATCTGGAAGTTTATATAAAGTTGTCTCATGAAACATTTCTAAAACAAAATGAAACCCAGCTTGTCCCTCCTACTCCACCTCCCCCAAATTACAACAATCCTGAAGGCAGGGACAGTGCCGCCTTGTTCATTGCTGCTGTATCTCTGGCATCTTAACAAAGAGTAAAAGCTCAAACATTTTTTGAGTATGAATTCTTAACAAAGCTTCTCTAAAGAACAGAAGGGCTTCTATTGTATATTCCATAATTAGAATTTTAAATCTAAAGATTACATACATGATACATATTTCTGTCAATTACTGTACAAAACAAACCCATTCATAGAAACTCATTCTAGACAAGTAGGAACAATTCTGACATTCAGAAAATCCCTTTTTAACTTTATAATAATTTGAAGTTTACACAGTGTGATCCAGCTGTTCTAGGTATGCAACTCTATTTTACCTTTCCTGGGATGAAGCAACAGAGATTGGAATCCACATACTTCATGAAAGTCATGTTTAATAGTGAAAGCCTAGTTTCAACAGCAGCAAGGATGTCTGCGTGACGAGCTAATGAATGGTTTCTTCTTTCTGACTCTCTCCTGTAATTAAAAAAGCAACCTCTGAAGAAGCACTGTGGACTAAAATGTTAAGCAAACAAAATGCCTAATGAAACACTCTAACATTTACATGTTAATTTAGAAATTTACCACTGGGTCATGATTTCATTGTAATGACAAATGAATCACTATGTCCAGCAATCTTTGCCAAGGACTAGTACTCCCTGACAAAATATTTGAAAAAATATTATTTTTTTGTTTTGTTTTAGCTATATCAAGCCTAATGGCTGTTGGAATCAGAGAAATTAGAAAAATGAAAGAATTACACATGGACATACAGGTAAGACATTATGTTTTTGCCCATAAAATTAGCTCATTTAAACTTTTTAAACAGTTTTACTGAGAAATAATTCACATATAATAAAATCCACTTTTAAAGTGGTTTTGGTGTGTTCAGAGTTGTGTACCCATCACCACTATCTAATTTCAGAACATTTTTCATTACCACAAAAAGCAAGCCTGTAACCATCATCAGTCACTTCCACTCCTCAGCCTCTGGTGACCACTGATCTACTTTCTGTTTCTACGGATTTGCCTACTCTGGACATTTCAGATAACTAGAATCATGCAGTATGTGGTCTTCTCTGACTTCGCACAGTTCTCATGGTTCATTCATGCTGTAGTATGTATCAGTACTTCATTCCTTTTTATTGCCAAATAATATTCTATTATATGGAATACCATCATTTTGATAATCCATTTATCAGTTGCTGGACTTCTGGTTTGTTTTTACTTCTGTGTAGCTATATTTTAATTTCTCTTGGTTATATACCTTGGAGTAAAAGTGCTGAGTCATAAGGTAACACTATGTTTAATTTTTTGAGGAATGAAGTGTTTTCTAAAGTGGCTGCACTATTTCAGAATACCATCAGTAACTTATGAAGGTTCCAATTTATCCACATCTCTCCCAACATTTTTGTCTTTTTTATTTTAGCCATCCTACTTGGCGTAAAGTGGTAACTCACAGTGTTTTGATTTGCAAAGCGCTGGTGACTAATGATGCTGAGTATCTTTTGTGTGCCTGTTGATCTGTGGTATCTCCTCTGGAGAAATGTCTATTAAAATCCTTTCCCCATTTGAAATTGGCTTGTCTTTTTATTGTTGAGTTGTAAGAGCTCCTCATACAATCTGGATACAAGACCCTTAGATATTTGAGCTGAAAATATTTTCTCCCATTCTGTGGGTTGTCTTCTCACTTTCTTGATGTTGTCATTTGAGTCACAGTTTTAAGTTTTGATAAAGTCCAGTTTGCCTACTTTTTGTTACTTGTGCTTTTGGTGCCATATCTAAGAAACCAGTGCCTAGTCCAAGTTTATGAAGGCTAGTACTATGTTTTCATCTAAGAGTTTATAGAATAGCGTTGACATTTATACTTAGGTCTGTGATCTATTTTGAGTTAATGTATGTGGTGTGAGGAAGGGGACCAGCTTCATTCTTTTGCATGTAGATAACCAATTATCCCAGCATCATTTGTGGAAACCATTATTCCTTCCCCACCGAATTATCTTGACATCTTTGTTGAAAATCAATGAACTAAAAATGTAATTCCAGACTCAATTCTGTTCCATTGACTGTATGTCTGTCTTTACGTCAGTACCACAGTTTTGATTATTGTACCTTTGTAGTAAATTTTGAAACTGGGTAGTAGTCCTCTACCAACTCTGTTCTTCTTTTTCAAGATTTTTTTTTATTATTCTGAGTCTTTTGTATTTTCACAGAAATAGTAGGATTAGCCTGTCAATTTCTGTAAAAAAGACAGCTAGGATTCTGATGGGTATTACACTGAATGTATAGATCAATTTAGGGAATATTGCCATCTTAACAATAGAAAGTTTCTCAAGCCATAAACATGGAATGTCTTTCCATTTAAGTTTTCTTTAATTTCTTTCAACAGTGTTTTGTAGTTTTCAGTGTATAAGTCTTTCACTTCTTTTACTATATTTAGTACTAAATATTTTATTTTTTTTCCAATGCTATTATAAATGGGATTGTCTTCTTAAATTCAATTTTGGATTATTTACTGGTAGTGTATCCTGGTTTTTGTATGTTGATCTTGTACGCTATATCTCTGCTTAACTCGTTTATTAGCTCTAAGAATCAGTGTATTCCATATGTACAAGATGAGAGCTACACAAGATTATGTCATCTGTGAATAGTTTTATGTCTTCTTTTCCAAACTGGGTGCCTTTTATTTCACTTTCTTGCCTAACTGCCCTGGCTAGAACCTCCAGTCAAATGTTGAATAGAAATGGTGAAAGGGAGCAAACTATAGTAAAAACCACTTATTGTGATTTTGGTATCCTGTGCTACAAAACACTTGTAAACCATTTAACATGTACACTCCTACTGAGATTAAAAATAAAATCAAGAAACAAATGAACAAAATCCCCAGCTGAAAATTATTGTTACCGTTGGCCATAACATACCTTGGGAGCTGTGCTTTAACTTGTTTCTGACATAGATTATGGTACCTCTCCACTTTTAGAAATCCCTGATTCAACATTCTCTGACAGACCAAGTCCATTCTTTTACAAACCTATGGAGAGAGAGAATTTGAAAAAGTAGTAACGAAATTAACAAAAGATAATTAACTTGACTCTAACTGAAGGCTGGGAGTTCTGTGTGCTAGTGTTGTTCCTGTTTGCTATTTGAATTTTTGAATCAGTATTATGTAGGTGAATCCCTCAAACTCTGTAATTCTTACCATATTGCATTTAGTGATTAATATTATATATAACCAAGGAAAACTTTACTCCTTTACTTTAGGTATTTGTTGAATGTTCTGAATGTAGCCCCACTATTCTGGTCAGAAACTGTAGTTCTGAATGTTAGTAAAAAAATATGTATATTCAAAGGTTTTAACTGGTTTGAAACAAAGAAAATTCTTCTTCAGTCAAAAGTGTATACTCAGACTCAAGTCCAACCTCTCACAAAGTTTATATGATCTATAATCTGAATGAGAATTCTTATTTATTTCAACTAGTGATTTAACTATAGACAGTTACTCTATTCTAGATAATGTTATATCCTCTAAAGTATCTTAGTATGTGTAGCGGAACCTCAACTATTTTGAATCCTTAAGGAATGTGGTGTTTTTATCAAAGTCAGAACACCCTAAATTTGAGTCCAGCCTTTACGCATTCTTTAGCAAGTCAGCTATGATTTGAAAGCCCGAGTCAGTCACCTCTGAAAGGTGGATAGTATCTAACTCCGGGACATCAGTAGGATTAAGTGAAACAATACATGCTATATCACTTGGTAAACTCTACAGTGTTTCATAAAAATTATGTTAAATAAGTTTTGTTTAATTTAGTACTAATTTGAAAACTGCTCCATATACTTAGCTGTTATGTTTCTGAGATATCCCAGCATCTTTCTTATCTTAACGAGACCTAGTACACAATATGTTTGTTCTTTGATTCTCTGAGAATTTTGCAGTGACTCAGTCAAAAACTTGAACGCTAATTCTCACTGTATAGGTGTGGATGTTGAAAATACAAGACAGTGAGATAAATCTATATCAAGATCAAGTCAATTAGACGGGCTGTCTTCCACCTCTCATAACACCCAAGCACAAATGCTTGACAATGCTAATTGCAATGAAATGGCGTAGTGGTTAGCAGTAGTGGTTAGCACATCTACTTTGCACACAGAAGGTCCTGGGTTCACACCCCAGGTGGAGCCAGCCCCAAGTGCCCTGGGGGCGCCAGGCCCCAGGAGATGTCCCACCTTCAGAGATCCAGTTCTTAAAAAAAGGGAGATGGCAACATCCCTAGGTCAGGGGTGGAAGTGTGTGTGTGGGGGGGAATTAAAGAGGGGAAAAAAAAAATGAAATGCTGATGAAACTCCTGATATGTTTGTTTTCCCCTGGGAACACAGGGACAAAAAAATCAAACTGGGTTGAAGCTAATGAAAGCTCTAATGAAAGCTTTAATACTCTAATATCAAATAATAGATACTTCCTAAATCACAACATGCCAAATGAAAGGTATGAATGAAAACAGTTCTTTGCAATATCAGTATAAATTACAACGCAATACACTTAAAATACTGATACCAAGAGTAATTCCTAATAAGTGAAAATTTAAAATATGGTGGAATCTATTTCTAACAAAACTAAATCAGTTCTCAGATTTGTTCAGTGTCTACTGGAAAAAAAAAAAACCCAATACGTATTAACATAAATAATTTTAAGGAAAAATAACACTTTTCAAAAACAAAGTATTTAGTGAGTTACATTTTTGCAAATCTCTTTGATGTCTGGTTTACTAGAAGTGAATCCTCCTATCTGCTTCTGCATTCAATCCACTGAGAACGCCTTACCTTAGAAAATTTTAGAAAACATAATACACAAGCACACACTTCATTAGCTATCAGTATGACATCATCACAGCACATAGCTACTGAAGAGCTCCATTGTGCACTTGTGAAAGAATGAAAATGAAAAATGCAAATAAGCTCTTAGTACTGAATGGAAATACTGCAGATCTTACAGACTCCCTAAAAGAGCCTTAGGAAGCCCTCTGGGATCCCTGGACCACATTTTGAGAACTACTGAATAACACTGCTTTTCAACTTTATGTGAGGAAAACAGAAACTTTTATTACATTACTGGAGAAAGGAAAAGAGTGTGTGTGTGTGTGTGTGTGTGTGTGTGATGAAGGGGAACAGAGCAGGCTAAAATCTCATCTTTCATAGTAGAAAGTCAACAGATAATATCAAATAAAAGAAAACAGCCCAAAGACTTGAAAGTGGTACTTCTGGGGAATAAAATTGGGGGGTTATAAAAACTATTTTTTGTTGTTGTTAAAACTATTTGACACGAGGCACCTTCTTACACAGTCTTGTAGAAAACCACTTCTTGTCTTTATGGACTCTACGATATCTTTGATAATTTCCGAGATGAAATAATGGAAATAATTTTTCAGCAGCAATAAATTTACAAAAAAATTAAAATCAATTACTGTAAGTTCCAAGGTACTGTCTAAATTATTTTATTATACTAGAATTTTGCTGCACTGAATCTAGCTAACTACTAGGATTTAGATATTTTGATAATCTTGAAACTCAACTGAATATATGAGTACTGACTAGTATGCATATGTAAGTACTGACTGGGTGATGAGAATATGAATAACCATATAAAGTCAACCAAAGAAGACTTTACATGATACAAGATTTGAATTAAGCTTTGAAGGAAGAGAGGGCAAAGACTGCAAAATCAGAGGTGACAGCATGTGCAAAGGCACAGAGTCTGAAACGAATAAACCATTAGCGAGCAAACTATTTCCAATGATACAGCAGATGTGTAGGCAAAGCTGAGAGGAATAAAATCTCCTATATTTTGAGCAGGGAAACCAGAGAGTAATGAGAAATAACTTTAAAAAGACCACTCATTTTTTGAAAGATCTCATATTGGGATAGGCGATTGGTCATTTTCTGTAAGCAGCTGTAATGTTAGGACTAAAGATATGGTTCTGGAAATTTGACATGGGTATAGCTGAAATCACTGTAGAGAACCCCCAAATGTGAGATAAGAAAATAAAGGCTTATAGACAGAGCCTCGACTGACATTTGTAGTTAAAAGCTGGTAAAAAGACTAGAAAATAGGTCACAAAGACAAATTAGAATAGCATCACAAAAGCCAAAGTCAAAAAATATTTTAAGCATTAGTTAATATTGTAAGAAAAGAGCAGCATTTAATGTAGTCCTCTGACTTTCATGGATGTTTAATAAGCATTGATTGACTGATAGCACAAAAACAAAGACACAACAACAGATCGTGCATCTTTTGTTTAGGATTCAGAAAGAAGCAGAAGTGACCTCTGGAAAATGAAGATATACTGATTTTCCCCAAGTAGTTTTATGGTAGCTGCTTACAATGTACGCTAACTTGCAATGCACAATTATCTCATTTAAAGTCTAGCTCTGTATTTATGGGTATTTTAATTACTTCCCAATACTATAGGAAAAAAATTTATTTCTCTGGTTATTAAAACAAAATTCTAGCAATTTGGCAGTTTACCCAAGACAGTAAAATAAAATTCTGGAGTCTAATATACAAGGAGGACAACGATCTGGGCATTTATATGCACTATAAAAACAAAAGGAGCCAATGGAATAAATCAGTTTACAAGGAAGACATTTAGCTTGGGCCCCGTTACTTGCTGTTCTAGTATGAGAGAAGAGGTGTGGTTTTTGTTACTTACTTCAGGATTTAAAACGCCATGTTTATCCTTTTCATCGTTTTCTAACTTAAGTGGTCAGTAATCAAAAATTTACTTTACTTATATGTAGAAATCTTTTTCGATTTATTGTGCCACCATAGTATTTGATGCAAGACCCATTTACCATATATTTGTGAAACCCACAATTTTCCTGTTAAATCTAACCGTTAATATCAAATCTTAGTTGATTCTAAGATGCACGTTTTCTCATATTTTAACATTTGACATGGGAATAGTCTTACAATATATGATATCTTACAATTATAACTGGCAGCATTTCTTTCACCATATGTTAGATGCCTTGAAATATAGTATGCCAGATTTCTTTGATTTTATTTAAGATGCTGTAGAGACTTTAAGATATATTACCAATTTAATAAAACCTCTTCTGGGGGGGTGGGGGGAAGCACTGCCAAAATAATGTACATATAAGTTTTCTCCACTTAGTCTAGAAGCTATTATCAAAAATGAGGCTGCTTATTAATGACCCCTGAACTGAAAGGAACTTAAGACACCAGAACCTATCCTCTTAAGGTAAGAAAACTGAGGCCTCAAGAAAGAAATTCTGTGATTTTTATAAGGTCATCCAGCTATTTAGTGGCAAAGTGAAATGGACAAACCAGGTCTTCTAATTCATATCTTTTTAAATTATATAGATTGAAATAATTATCCTCAACTGATCAGAGTCTCAGCTAATACCCTGCTGCACAGAAACTGTTGGCGTCAGTCTACAAGTAGGACTTCTTGCAGCAATATGCGACTTTAAGGACATTAATGGGGGTTCTTACCAACTGCTGAAGATGGAGCTAGACCCAGATCTTCCTATAATTCTTTTTCAAAAACCAGAAGTGAATCATGAGCAAACAATCAAATCTGCACTGTAAAGCATTTTACAAGCCATCTATCTGGCCTGGATTCTTCAAAAAATCAATTGCAGGAAAGAATGAAAAAAGAGGAGGAATGTCCTAGATTAGAGACTAATACTTTATTAGATTCAAGGCCTTTATTCCCCGCCCAAAGCTTAAAAGGACATTTTGGGGACAACTGAGAAATCTGAATATAAAATGTAATGTTAAACTCTTTGGAAGTGATGACATAGTGATTATATGAATATTTAGGGGCAAAATGTCATTATATTTGCATCTTACTTTTAAATGGTTTAGTAAAATAAATTTGCGTGGGACACACACACAACATTTAGAAGGGAAGAGAATGAACATACAAGTGAGAGAGATAAAGCAAATGTGGCAAAAAGTTAACAACAGGTACTTCGTTATCCCTACCAGTGGGATAAAATCATTTAAAAAAT